AGCTAATCCGTTTTTTGAGTCCATGATATAACCAAATTGGATCGATCTTCCATCTGTTTAGCTAAGAAAGAATAGATGCATAGGTGGATAATAGATCGATATGAAGATCATGAGCTGTCCCGTAATGAAATCGCTAGTAGTCACGAATATCTCCTTCTCTAACCCAAAATTGGAGAAAGGCCTAAGGAGAATGTGGCGGAAATACATAACAGAGTCCAACCACAACGATCGAATTAATTATCCTCATCGAGAAACTTACATTACTTTAGACTATTTAAGTAGAAAGGATTTAAAAATAATGCCATGAGTCTCCTTTTTTCTTCCTTTAGAGTTTTCCATATGTACAGTTTTTCAATATTTCGATGAGAATTTCTTGAATTTCTATATATAGAAAGAGATAGATCTATACATGACATCTCTTATGTCTATAAAACCAAAGGGATGGATAAATGATAGGAAATGCTAGGAAGTAAAATAGAATGGATAGAGCCATTTTGGGCTTCCCTGTGAAATGAGGCATGAAATGGAGCCACTACAAGAAAGTTTCTGGAGTTACTAAATAAACTTCAGACTCTTATTGTTCACGGGTTGAGAGCGGGTTGAACTCTAGGAGGTCGAATCTCCCTAGCTATTGAGTTAGCTTTTAAAAGATAGAAATCTGGCCCCTACGGAAATGAACTAAAAGCTAAAAAGCACATTTTTTTAGTAGCTTTTTCTGGTTTTCTTGTGTTGATAAACTAAAATTTATTACAAAAACCAATAGCAAAAATCTAATAGACATAAATCAATTTTGAGCGAAAAACTCAAAAGTTGCAGCTCAAACAAATAGGCCCTAAGCCTAGCAAACAAAGCACAATTAGACCGGTTTGTTGTTGCACTCATGATTTATTTCGTCTTAGCTGCCGTTTCTATAATACATTGGCTCATTTGGTGTTCTAGTCTCGACATGTTTGTGATCCATGTGTTGTGTTATGATGAAATTAGTCCCACCTTAGTTGTTTAAATAAGTTCAGACCAACTTATAATCTTTCTCATTACAAATGTAGCACTTACTTTTACATGAAAAAGGGCAAAGTATAAGAGATATGCTGTATACATGTGGATCTGTTCCACGTGAGGAGCTAGCCATAAGTAGATTTTTGAACAGTATCTTCTCAAGCACGATGAAGCTGGGTCCTCGTGTGATTCTTAGTTTCTTTGTTTTTCCTCCAATCCAATCCTGCTTTGTAACTTTTTGTGCTCCTTAGATGACAAGATCTTGCGCTCATCTTGAGGCTGCACTGAAGGGTGATGAACTGTCCTAAAAAACACTTAAGGGCGACGAACATTCAGACATTGATGATAAAAAAAAATGTTGTTGAAGTTACTCCAAGATTTCATCCCTAGAGAAGATATAGATCATCTTGATAATCTAAGATTATGCAACGGATGAACTGTTTTAAATTCTCTTTTTACTACAAAATTTTATTAACTATTCCTACGAGGGTTGCCTCTGTGGCTCAGCGGAACACAAGCTAAAACTAAAAGTTAGAAACTAGATCAAACAGGTTACCTACTAATAGGTGTGCTATCTACTACAGAAAAAATTACTCGTTCCAATTATAAAATGTTGTGACATGGTAAAAACATTGTATCTACAAAAGTCAAAATATCTTATAGTTTGAAGATAAGTTTGGAACGAAGGGATAACAACTTCAGGTGGTAGGATACTAACAAATTCGGTGGTAGGATAGTAGACGACTGATGCTTTTTTTTTATAATATATAAAAGTTAGATATCAGTAAGGAAGAATCGCACTTCACTCTTTATCATGAATACCTATTGCTTTTCTTAGCATACAACCTCTGACACGTAAAGAGGGACACTTAGTTTTTCTTTCTAAATCAAAGTATCTTATATTTGACCAAATTAATAATGAAGATTATCAACATTTATAGTACCAAATAGATTTACCATGAAAGTACATGTCATGATGAATCTAATAATATTTATTTGATATTATAATATTTAGTAAAATTTAAGATTGTTTGACTTAGAAAAACTAGAATGGTAATAAATTTAAAATTGTTTGACCTAGGAAAAACTAAAATAACGGACGGAAGTATTATTATACGTATAAAAACAAGCAATTATTTCCAAATATAGGCTCAATCATCTTACGGCCCTGGTGCGTACGATTGGGACCAAACGCCAGATCCACCCGGTCCAAATAGCCCGAATGGAAATTGAGCACCATGGCAACTATAGCCTTTTTCTACTTTGGCATCACATCAACGTATAGATTGATTATTCTCTCTATCAAATCGACATTTTATCCAACGCTAGCTATTGCTGCTTGGCGTTTCCTTTGACCTCGTTCTCGACCACTAGCCTGTATGGTGTACGGAGTAGATAGTAACGATGGAGTGTAAGACAGCTCTCGTCCTTTTCCGCACACGTTGTCCAAATTCATTTGCTGTGGACTGCAGACGTTCACCTCGTCTTCATTCACTTCGCTGCAAGAAAAAGTCGCAGAATGTTACCTCTTCGTCTTCATTCGAGGTTCGTGTCTCACGTTTCCCAGGGGCCACCAGTCTAAACAAACCCTGAAATGAAGTGTGACCAATCTGGATCAACCAGTCGACACGTATATATTGCAAAGGTCTTACCTCTAGAACCATCATGCATTGTTCAACCTTGAAGAATTGACACAAGGAATTAGTGATGTCAATCATCCAATTCAATGCCAAAATTCAATCTTGTAAACCTGTGGCAAATAAATTTGCAGACAGCAAACAAGCATAGGGCCCCAGGACTCCCGCATTAGCTATTAGCAGCTGAAACACAAATCAAAAGAGTGTGCTATAAGCTTTACATAGCATCTTTTCGATGCAGATTTTCAGAATGATAAGATTGCCACCGGTAGAATAAATTCAGCTCTTACCTAGAAATGAGGTACTAACTTTAGCAGCATTTCCAGCTGGCTGGTGAACAATCTAGAGAGAGCAGAGGGAGGACCAACGGCTGGCATGGCAAGAGTTCAACCACAGAAGCTGGGTCTGGGTGTAGGCTGTTTGCAGTGCGGGGAAATTCCCCGGTGCCTTTTGCCCCCTTGGGATGTCAGAACTTTCAAAATTCAAAGGTGATCTTCTACCTTTCTGCTTGCAACGTCCTGGTGGACATGCCCATCTGATCTGCAAGGCAGTACCTTATTCCAATAGACTGTTAGACGTTGAGTATATTCCCTTCAAAAGGGTTTTGTGTTCTCACTGCAAACTTGCATGTCTTCAAGCAACTTTGCCAGAGTACACGTGCAAACTATGTAGTAGTTATCTAATAGTCAAAAAACAGATTGCACTATGTGCAGTTATGATTGTTGGAACAAAATGAGAACCCTGATGCATACACATGTAATTGATTTTCATACATTTGTTGCTTACAGTCCAGTATATAGTCTTATATGCTGTTAAGAAAAAGGTGAAAGAAGCCTGGGACAGTACGGTGTACTTATTATGAAACCGATGACAAAGTGGAGTATAAGGTAGAGGATGTTTTTTAGAGTATAAAGCAATGTTTTCAAATCGTCCGATTAATCGCGATTAATCACGATTAATCGTCCTAATCGGTCCCTGCTGACTGATTAGGGGTACCGTCAACTTGTACAAGTCGTCCGATTAATCGCGATTAATCGTGATTAATCGTCCTAGTCGGTCCCATGGCGACTAGGTTCAACTCGACGACTTGAAAACATTGGTATAAAGTAGAGTATAAGGTATATGATGTAGCAGGCAATGGTCCTCACCTTTTATTCCCTGCTGGAAGAAAAACATATCTACATGAATTGTTTTTGGCAGTTGCAGATATTGGACGCTTATGTGGAGGGGCGAGGCAGAATGTGGTGTTCTGGCTGGAACAACTTGAATGCAAGCTCCATGGTATTGATATGACTATTCTCAGAAAGTGTAATTTCTTCTTGCATAGACATTTTAAATGCTGTGAGCCATCTGATGATATTAAGACATTGATGCGTCGACTCACGCCAGGAGATGCATCTTTGGTTCCTATTTGGTCCGAATAATCCTCTACATGTATAAATCTGTATTCTGCGGACGAGGGACAAAGTAGCAACATATGAATATATGAAAATGCCACAGGCATGAAAATGGAAACACACATTAGAACATAAAAATACAAATTTAAAACTGAGAATGAACAGAGAAGTCATGCATGTATGGGGGCTATTGTAGATAAGAACATGAACTAGGGTCTTATGGAACAAGACCACAGAATAGTTTTCAATCAAAGCTGAAGAGTGAAGTGCTCGATACTTCAATTGACGTCAAGGAAAAGCAAAGAAAGAGAAGAAAGAAGATTGCTAATGACCTGACTCTACCTCCCCAGGTTTCGTACTGCTGCATTGTGATGCTGATCCAAAGAATCTTTCTCCATCTATGTGCTCACCACTCAGAGAAGTATCGTTGAACATGAAATGACACATCGTGAACCTTTGGCCAAACCCAGGCAAGGTGCCATGCAGGGGAGGCTAACTCTTGGAGCTTTAAACATACCTCCTGATCTTTGGAGAATATATGCATGAAAAACTGACCATAGATATCATTCACAAAGATCGTACAGCTTCAACTACAACTAGGCCATCTGGAGGTTGATAGGTGCTCTACATGTCCATGCAACAAAGAAGCAACTATAAGGGAAAATGATAATATAATATTAAAAGTAAGATTCTATCTTCTTATAGTGCTCAATGGAATGTTGTGAACATAAAGTGGATGCTTCACAACTAATATAAATTTACGAAGAACTGCTCTGTTCTTCCCACAGAAAAAATATCATTTGATAGCCCTTCCACCACACTATAATTTCCACTTAGTTGTGGATAAACAAAGCTCTCTTCTATAGCCATCAACTCAATTTTATACTGAACTATGTCACGAGGCAGGGATCCTTTGGCATTGAGCCAGGTAATTGGTGATGTGTTGGATCCTTTCATAAAGTCAGCAACAATGAGGATTAATTATGGTGACAAGGAGATCACAAATGGCACTGGACTACGAGCATCTGCTGTGCTCAATGCACCACATGTTGAGATTGAAGGCCACGACCAAACAAAGCTCTACACACTTGTAAGTGACCATAATAGATTGTAGGATCCTGATATGTAGTGTGCATGTGTTTTCGCATTGCATTGTGTAAGGTGAAACATGACTTTGATTGCAAGAAAAGGTTCAACCAAAAAGGTTACTCTCATGTGAGAAGAGGTAACGCTAGTATAACCAGAGTTCTTAGAGTGATCCACGCACGCAAACTTTAATTTATTACTCATGTATTTTCTCTTTCAGAAAAAAATACAACATAGACATACTTAGAATAAGCGATAAAACTTGCACAAATGTTGGTTTATATAAGTATGTATAACTTTCAACAATTATGAATTATTGATTAGGTTGAACAGAATGTTGTTCTGAGAAAAAAAACAGAGTATCTCACTGGATGGTATTTGTTGGTTGTACAAAGAACACCACACGGAATCCTTTTGCTGATGACAAAGTTCATGTACCCTACATACTATTTTAGAATATGCTTCTGCACCCTATCTTGCTTGTACTCTCTGGTATGGCCTTACAAGTACATTCGTTGCAAGGCACGCTCTCATGTTGCTGCCTCTGCCTGTGAACATTCTCTAAATCCATGGTAAAAAAAAAAACTAAGGAAAGTCACAGATAAATTACTCCCACACCTGTACAGCTCTAGCTTGCTCACAGACACATTGTGCACGCACAACATATGCTACACATGCACAACATGGTTGTAAGTGCTAAACAACTTGTGCTTTATTGCAACTTATGGCTGATTTTGGTTAAAAAAAAACACTTTCCAGTATGTTCATCAAAAGCACTCTCTTTTTTAAACCCCTCCCATTTGCTCTCTAGAATTAAGTCTTAGCTCCTTTATAACACATTAAATACAAATGCTAAAGTTCAAACTTACCTCTTCTAAGGTTATGGTGGATCCTGATGCACCAAGTCCAAGCAAACCAGAGTACAGGGAATATCTGCATTGGTGAGCTTATTATATTTGTTATTCAAGTATACTGTGTTGAGTTGCATCTTTCCCAAACTCTGGATAGCGCCACCTCTCCGAAAGAAACAAATGAATGCTGCTAGTTCAAGAACCCCTTACGTAGATAACCTGCAGGATTGGATGCAGCCCTCTCAAAAAAGGAGGGGGGTGTTTCTTTTCCATCCATCAACATCTGAAGAACTCTTGTTATGTATGCTATTGGGTAAGAAAGCACAGTTTCTGTGATAGTGTAACTTTTGTTTTCTATCACCATAGTTCGCTTAACCTAAATCTCGTTGTTCAGAATATCATTTTATTATCAACAAGTATTAGTTTCCAGTTGAATTGATATCTGTAGCATTGAAATAAAATGAGTAATATTGCAGAAATAAAATGAGTAATATTGCAGATATTTTTAGTTTCTAAATTCGTCGAGAAGATATCTTACAAACTCTGTATGGACAAGATGCTCTGAACGGTGCTATATAAAAATCTGTCAATTAATTATTTCAAGCATGAATTAAAGAGAACAGTCATCGACCCAAATTCTAACCTGACTATTTTAATATTATAATTCTCAGTGGCTACAATTATCAAACAGAATAAGGTAAACTGCTATAGCATTTAATCAGATAAGGCATTAGTTACAAGATCGACATGAAAGATATTGCATATGCATAAAAAAAGGGCGTACCCAGTGCAGAGAGCTCCCGCTCTGTGCGGGGTCTGGGGAAGGGTGTCAGTGGCAAGCCTACCCTCGCCTGTGCAATGCGAGGAGACCGCGACTCGAACCAGGGACCTTCCGGTCACATGCGGTAAGACTCTACCGCTTGCACCAGGCCCGCCCTTCATTGCATATGCATGCATCAAGTTAAAGTTTTACGCTTGTTTTGATAGTCTGAAACTATGGGGATAAAGGCTTACACTGCTTAGACTAGAGTTCAAAGAATTCATCAAAAGAACCAAGTGGTATTGCTACTGCTTATACTATGGTGACATTGACTTATATTGCTAGCACAATACTTAGCACACTCAAATGACAATTATAATTGCTTAATTTACAAGGAGAATAATGTAACATGATCGTCATTTGAAGCGACGAAGTGTTTAATTTGATTAATTGATCAAATTCTAGATTGCTACTTACTACTAGGAATCAACCACCAGAGTGTACATAAAAACCCATATAACAGATTATATTTATTAGTGACTTGTGAATTAGCACATCAGCTGTTGTTAATAGAAAACACCCAAGTTTACCTCTTACATGAACATCAATCTTCCAATTCCATGTATATTTTACATAGTTGCATACTTAATTTTATCAATTAAAGTCATTTACTTAATTATCTACATAGTGCATAAGTAATTTTGATTGCAATCAAAGATCTAAAGGCAGGCCCTTGTTTCTTTTCATCTTGTTTATTTTCTACAGGTTGGTGACAGATATACCAGAGGCAAGAGACATACGTTTTGGTGGGTAACGCCTTATGTAACCTCTTCTTACTGAATTAGCATTTAACACATGGATATTTAAACTTTTTTTAGGCTGCATCTTCAAACATTATTGTTGCACACAAAAGCACAAACAACTCCAGATTCATGTTGTATCATAATTAAATATACATGATATGTGGCATCATCCACTTAATTTAAACGTGTCACCAGCACCTTGCTCTTGGAAATGCAACAAATCATGTGGTCAGTTAAACGCATGTCAAATGGCAAAACATCTGATGATATTAAAGGATTTAAGAAACTATGGAAGAACCACAATTGCAAATGTAACATGTAGAATTTGACAATAATAATTGCTATGAAAGACATACAAGGCTTTGATGAAGAAACTGCTTTGGTGAGCAAATGGTCATATGAATTTCATTGCAAAGATGCTATGTAACACATCATTTACAGTGAAACCTTTATGCATTTATCTTATGTTGTGTGCATGTTATTATGCCTGGCATCCATGCTTAGTATTACTGATGATGTCAATATTTGAAGAAACATGCACGCATGGACTTACAGTAAGTTCAAGAATTTTGTACTGAACTAAATCTGTCAAAATTATTCCCATTTAGTCACAAGTGGTGTCATGTAAAATACCAGAATCTGACAGCTGCATCAAATACTATCTGGCCAAATGCATGCTAGGTGAATTTAATAGGTTAAAGAAAAAGGCTGACATTATCTTTTCATCAGACTTTCTGGTTTGGTTCAATCTCCTTAATCGCCATAGTAGCTACCGCTTGCCTCTTTTGAATGCAATTTCATAAATCTCTTACCTTTTGGATTAAGCATCATTCAGCAATTAAGAGAATAGGATTAGATAACCTTGTTGAAGACTACACTTACAGAGAATCATTTTAATACTGCATACCTACGAATCAAATGCAAAGCACCTTACAGAGAGGGGGATGAACCCCACTCTAATATGTGACTGCACCTATTTTGATGCAGGTTAAGCAGTTGCACGGTTATTATTTGTCCAAAGCACCTCAAGTTGAGGATCTGACATCATGGTATTTTCTGTGGGATGATGAAGTTATTGCTACCTATAGCATATTAAGTGTAGAAAATCTTCACATGGCGCTTTTTTGGGGGTGTGGGATGTGTTGATTTTCTTTTCCTTCTTTTTGGGGTGGGAGGGGGGTGGTATAGTGCCAACTGAACACAATGTGAAGAGAGCAGGTAGTGAAAACAGTTAGAAAAGTCATTAGTACAAAATGGCTAACGCTAGCCTTCTCCTTACAAATTACAGCAAAGCATTCTAATAAGGAATACACGCTTTTCAGGCAATGAAATAGTTCCCTATGAAAGCCCAAGGCCACCAGCTGGAATTCATCGAATTGTTTTGTGCTATTCAAACAGCAAGCAAGACAAACAGTTTATGCACCAGGATGGCGGCAAAATTTCAACATCAGAGACTTCTCAGCAATTTACAATCTTGGAGCACCAGTTGCTGCATTATACTTCAACTGCCAAAAGGAAAGCGGTGTTGGTGGCAGAAGGTAGGACAGAAACTTTATATTTTAGAAAAATACAGCAGTAGATGCTAAAAGACACTAAACCACACAGATCCAAAAGGGTCCTCTCTCTTGATAGATGAAATGGTTGAGCATTGGGCATTAACATGTCATCCAACACAAGCACAAAGTCTAAAAAGGTTGAAGTATCAAAATTGAGGAATACTCTAAATCTAAAAGAAATACTTCTCCTCACATGATATATCCTTGGTTTAGAACAAATGCCTTTTAGGAGAGGAGTGTTCTTTCGTAAGGTGCTGCAGGCCATAAGAAAGCTATGTATCTCAATTGGTGCCTCTAGCATTGTTTATAAAAAGAAAAGGTCTCTTTCTAAGTCAAATGAGTGATGAAATGCTTGTTCATCACTTCAGAAAAAGGCTATTTCAAGAAATAAGTGATACAATCCTATGAAAAATTAGAAAACAACACAAACAGTACAAAGAAGATCATGTTCTGCCTCCTTGCTATATGCAAGAAAGAGGCACACATAAATTCACTATCACAACAACCCCTCCCTTTGTTTGTGTTCTTTCTACACTGACACGAGAAATCAGGCATGTTATTCTAGGAGAACAGTTCTGTTAGACATTTACCATTTCTTAACAATATCTTATGGTTGGTTTAACAGGTTCCTGGGATCAAGCTGAAGAACAGATATAGAGAAACATCTACATCAAGGCAGTACCATTCACAATTCAGAAATTAATCCACAAAACAGTTGAAAACATATGAGATGTTAGTTGGCAGTTAAGCTCTAGAGTAATTGACTCGTATCATATGAAACAAACACAGTATTTGGAGGTCATCTTCCTATATGTTACCCACCTCAATAAAGATTACGATGTTCGTATTAGCAATTATGAGAAAAGTGTTCACTTACAACAACTCATTAGTGTCTAAACAGCATGAAAGAGACCGTCACATGGACGCGGCCATCCTGCGTGCTCAGATAGCGCACCATCTGAGAACTAGCAGATTGACCCGACCTGCTAAGGGCCTCCTCACACACCCAGCGTCCATTCCAACTAGGATACGCCAGGCAACGCGCCTATGAAACTCAACCGGCGATATGCGAACCGAAGTTTGCTTTGAACCACGCGCCCCCAGCCACCGGGTGCACGCCGCCGAGCCGCTCGCTCACCGTTCGGCACCGCAGCGGTTCCGAATCGACAGCAGTATAGCGAGAAACGAGAGAATCAGAGGGGTGGAGACTGGAGGAGTTACATTACCGTTGAGAAGAAAGAGAATCGCGGCTGGACGACGACGAGTCGAGCGATCGAGGCGAACGGAGCCCACTCCGGTTGCTCGTGGAGAGCGCGGGAGGCGTAGCAGCAGGCGGTCGCGTTGGTTCGCGTCGGACCGCGCCTGTTCTCCGCCATCGTTGGAGCCCATTCCTCCTAGGAGGGGTCGAGGGGAGGGGATGGGACGGTGGCCTACGATGTCGACGCCGACGAGGAGGTGCCTCGTGACGCCGACGAGGAGGGGATGCGAACAAGTTGTGTGTGTGGGCTGTGTTGTCAAAAAAAAAAAAACGGAGTGTGAGCTGGGCTTATCCTCGGTGAGGTCAGATTGCGAAAACGGAGTGTGGGTTGGGTTTATCCTCCGGATTGTAGTTTGGGCCTCATTGGGGTGAGTAGAGTGGAGGATTGATGCGTGTTGGGATATACTGGCGTCCGGACGTCCGAATAAAAGTGTGCATCTAGACACCCGCGCCACCTCCATCACATACATCCGCGGAAAAAGCACCGCGCCCGCCACTTCTTCCCCTGACCCCTCCTCTCTCTCCGCGAGTCTAGACACTCGCGCCTCCTTCGTCACGGGCGCCCACGAGAAACGCCGCGCCCGCAGCTCCTTCTCTTGACCCCCTCTCTCTCTTTCTCTGCACAGGCGGCACCTAGGAGCCAAGATGAGGACGAGAACGCCCTGTTCGCAGGTTCCCAGTGCGCCCTTTGTTGTTTGGGCCATGCCCCCATGATTCTCTCTAAAACACGAAATACTTGAATGCAACATGCGTCTGAAGCAGATGAAACATTTGTGACATATGTGTGAAACATATGCAACATCCAGATAAAACACTTGCAACTTACAACATGAAAACACTTACGGCAACATAAGACTGAAACAGTTAAAACATTTCGAACATATGTGTGAAACATATGCAACATCTAGATCAAAACGCTTGCAACATACGTTTGAAAACAGATGAAATATTTTGAATAAATGTTTGCAACATGGCTCTAAAACACTTGCAACATATGCAACATCCCGATCTAGTTTTGTAATATTCATATGAACCACTTGCAACATACCTCTTAAACATCTTAAACACTTCTAACAAGCATTTGAAACATAGGGGGAGAGAGGCCGTGATCGGTCGATTTCGGCCGTTAGGGTGGGAGCCAGCGGCGAGCAGCGGCGCGAGCACCACTAGCACCGCCCGCGCTCGTGGGTGCCCTTGGCTCGGCCGAGGACGATCTAAGGTGCCCAACATGTGCGCCTAGCCGCCATCAGCAGGGGCAGCAGCCGCGGCCCACGGTGATGAGGCATCCCAACAGCGTTGGGCTGGGAAAGTGGCCAGGAGGCACTACGCAAACTGAGGGAGGAGGCGGCGTGGTCGGCTTGGGTGGAGGAAGGAGGCAACGGTGGCGGTGCGGGGTTCTGCTACTGCCAGTGAATGCGAGAAGATACCGAGAGATGGGGAGGGCGCGACGGAGTGGGGAGATTTTTTTTCTTGAGAGTGGCGCGCGAGGCGGAGTGAGAAAGTGCATCCGAATGGACACATGCAGACGAACGCCCATGTCGAAGTATTTCCGTAACATGTTTGGGCCCCGCGATGATATCCACATAAATGAGGGAGGAGGCGGCATGGTCGGCTTGGGTGGAGGAAGGAGGTAGCGGTGGCGGCATGGGGTTCTGCTGCTGCCGGCGAACACGAGAAGAGACCGAGAGATGGAGAGGGCGAGACGGAGTGGGGAGAATTTTTTTCTCTTAAGAGTGGCGCGCGAGGCGGAGTGAGAAAGCGCGTACGAATAGACATAGGCAAACTGAGGCCATTGTCGAAGTATTTCTGTAACATGTTTGGGCCTCGCAATGATATCCACATAAACATCCCAAGGAGGCTGTTTTACCATAATTTCCTGAGCAAATTCTGCTCTTCCGAACAAATTAACCCCAAATCCGTGTCCCCATTTTGTTGATTAGTCTTGCAACACAACACGGCCATGCTCAGAAGCTGATGTTCCCTCTGGCCTCGTGGCAGCCACCGGGTGAGCAAGCTGGAGTGATGGGCGAGCATGTGTTGATGTGTGTGGCTCCGAACAGGTTGCTCTGGAAATAAATCTTGTATGGTGTTGTTCTTCGAATTTGGGTGAACCTTAATCTGAGCACTATAAACGCTGAATTCTATCCTGATGCAATCAAATGGACACCCTAGAACTCCTACAAGGAAAAACAACATGGCGCAACGAGTTATATATATATATATATATATATATATATATATATATATATATATATATATATATATAGAGATAGATAGATAGAGAGAGAGAGAGAGAGAGTGTGAGAGAGAGAGAGAGAGCACACCACTCGCCATCAAATAGAAAAGATTATAACTTGGGCATATCCATCTCAATATCTCATAGTCGACACCATAGCTTTTGACCATTTTCTGAGAAATGATGATAATATAACTCGGTCAACAATTTACACTGAGTGATGTCGGCGGGAGTGACCATCTTGCATTTCTATCCAAAGGTACACAATCCCATGCAATGATGTTGTATTAACAACAGCAAATGTAGCACAAAGGTCAACTAACAATTCCTTCCTACAAAAAGATACAGCCCTCCTTGATTCGGTGACCACTGCCCTTACATTAACAAAAATGGAAGCGTGCACAAGGAGAGTTTAGCATATGATGCCATCGATGCCAAATGTTAGATAGCTCTACGGTGATACTCCTTCCGTCCCAAAAGAATGTAATTCTCGCTATTCGAAAAGTTAAACAATATTAAATTTAACTAAATCTATATAAAAATACTAACACTTAGATACTAAAGAAGCATCATAAGATTAATCATGAAATATATTTTCATAATATACCTATTTAGAGTTATAAATATTAATATTGTTTTATATAAATCTAGTTAAATTTTAAAAAGTTTGAATCAATCTAAACGAGTAAATCCAAGATTATATCCTCTTCAGGATGGAAATAAATATTCTCTAGTATCATGTTGATCTAGGAGAAACTTTCCAAAGTTGGTAATTTTTTCTTTTTGCGAAGAATTCCAAAGTTGATCTTTAAGCACAATGATGGGGATATTTCAACCAGGTGCAGGACATTCTCATTTAGCTTAGGTTGCAAAATTCGTCATACTACAAAAAAAAAAGGAGATAATCCAGAATTATGACAGTAAGAAAACTGAAAATTCCGGAAAGCCAAGAAGGCTCAAGATATATTTATGAAAAAAAGAGGAAAATATATGTCGGATAAGACAATACAAAATTCCATTTGCCTTTTTTTTACAAGAGAATTCCATTTGCTTTACTTCTCGAATTCGGACTGAAAAACAGACACCCATAACATCATCTTCTTCTTCTTTTTTGACCGAAAAGACTGTGGGGGGAGGTCCCCATAGTGAGCAACTTTTTAACTTCTTCTTCTTCTTCTTCTTTAGTTAGACATAACGTAGTACTAAAAGTTAATACTCGGATGGAAAATAAAAAACGAAGTAATAATTCCTTTAACATTACAACCAAAATTTTGTTTATGTTCAAAAAGCGCTTGATCAGTTGAGAGCAACGCCCGCTGGCTCAACGAGTCAGCGCCTCAGCGGCACCGGGGCCCCACAAGCAGCGATAATGACCAGCTGGTATATATACACACGTTATTTATTATTATATATATAAAATGAAGTAAATAATTGCACACGCCGTCGTTGGTTTGTTCGCGTTCGTCGGACACTTCGAACGGACAACAGAGAGAGGGACAGAGGGAGAAGCAAAGCAATGGCGCCGCCGCCGAGGTGGCTGCGGCGGGAGGTGTTCGTGGGGCTCGCGCTGGGCCAGTTCGTCTCGCTGCTCATCACCTCCACCGGCTTCGCCTCCTCCGAGCTCGCTCGCCGAGGTACGCTGCGCCGCCGCTGTCTTTTTCTGTTCCCGTACGCCGGTGATGCTTTGCAACCTGTATCCTTCCTAGGGTAGAACTTCTTGGCGGACCAGCACTGGTGCAAAAATACTGGATCTTATTATCGTTCTGAACATAAAAGGCATTCTTTTTTTTTTCAGTTAGCCGTGTCTTCAATTGTGCCGTGATTTTGGTTACTGGTTCTTCATGTTAGGCTGAGACCTGTCATTTGGCTCCTGTAGCTTGGACTACCATGTTTGTCCCATTTCTTTCTGTGTTCCGAAAAAAAAAATCGTATGACCATGTTCAGATGACAGATGGTTGAGAACTGTGTGGATTGAAAAATACTGAAGATAATGCTGAATCATAAGGGTTTCTTTTTTCAGGTGTCAATGCACCTACATCACAGTCATTGCTGAATTACATCCTTCTTGCACTTGTTTATGGTGGAACACTGCTATACAAAAGGCAACATATGACGGTATGTCTGGATGCTGCTTTTCCAACACATGGAAATGTTACTGGGGAA